GTTCTGCACAGTCCTTTTGTGTTACTGTTTGCTGGAAATTGTGAACATGAAGTTGCTTTTTGTTGCTGCAACCTCAACTGATGCAAACTAATCCCAAATCCAGATGCAGCTATTCACATGAACGGGTTTGATTTAATCTCCCTGGTATTACGTGCAGAAATTGCTGGATAGGGATGGAACAGATCTCATCAGATGTGATTAGTGTCACAAAATCCAAGTCTTAGGAGCAGTTAAAGACTTGTCTACTATAAAATTTATCTGAAAACTGAATACTGTGGTTTGGCTTGCTTTCCCATTATTCCAGAGGGGGTATTTTTTTGTTTTCTTGGATTTTTTTAATTCTAAGTAGAACAAAAGAAAAGGCACAATCATGTTGTGTGAATTTTGGTTGGATCTGGTCCCACTGCACTTGAAGAGATTCTGGAGAAGGATTCCCTGACCCCAGTTTTTTAGTTATGCTTCCTCTAGCCTAATTTCTACTTCAGGGATGCATCCAAATTTGCAGTAAATAATCAATCTCTTTCTGGGTTCGAAAGGCACTATTGTTGTTACTTAAACACAGTCAGCCAAAAACCTAATTCAAGAGGAATAGAAAGATTTTTTTCAAAGTTTTTATTATGAGCTGTTTACATGAATTTAAAAAAGGAAGAAACTGATAAAACTGTGTGTATATAAATGCCCTTTTCTCCCCCCAGAATAATTTCTTCTGAGTCTGCAAACCGCCCCAGGAAGCCTTGCAATTGTACTAAGTCTCTGTGTTTGAAATTGTAAGTACAGCTTGGTACAGTTTATTTTCTTTTAAGCCTTATTTTTAATATCACAAATGTGCACCAAGTATCAAAATATAATGATTTTAAGTATGTCTGAAATTTTATGTCTAGATGCTGATTTAAAGTGGATATTGGTGGAGATGTTGTAGAGCCTGTGTAATTTTGCAGCTCCTGTGAGCTGTGTGGAGCATAACATTTAAAAATGTCTAATTTTGCATCATGTACCTTATTGCATGGTGGAGCCAATTCCACTCAGCAGCTCTGGTTGCTTTGTTGGTACTATGAGTGAAATGGTATCTCATGGTATCATTCGTGGGCATTTACTGTACTTTGGTGAAGTGCATCAGTAATACCGTGGTAGATCAAATACATCAGAAAAATTTGGCTGTGTATATTTTATTAAAGGTTGAATAGACAAATGATTCTTCAGTGATAGGTCTGCATCTTGCTTATCCATGGGGTATTGTGCTGTTCCATTCCATGTATTTGTAAGAATTTGACACAAAAGCATTTGGAGCTGAGGAGAGCTTCTTCACCTTGATCAGAGTCAGTTTACTGATGTTTCTGGGACAGGAATGGGAGGAGATACTGAAATTAATCGGTGGTTCCCTGAATCCTAGACAATGAAGAAGAAATCAGGGGTGTGGTACTTGAAGGGGAAGTGATGCAATGGCATCTGAACCCGAGTTAAGAAGTTTGTTTAAACTCTTAAGCTTGGGTGTCTTTTTGTGTAGTGCACCCCACCCCTGTATGAGGAGGTGTGCCCTGTGTTTCCTGGTCTCAGACTTGTCTGTTGCTTAGCAGGAAGATGTGTAGCTGTTTTTCAGATATTTTGCATACATGACTGACCTCACAGTGCCCAATGTGTGTTATAGAGGTGTAGGGGGTTAGGTCTTGGTGCCCTAGAAATGCTGGGAGAGGAATGGCATCACTGGGAATAATTTTCACCTTCAGAATGCTGTTAGGAAGCAAACTGTCCTTGTAAATCACTGATGTTATGTGTTCTGGGCATTGATGCAGCGTAGTTCACTGAGACACAGGTGCTTTCTCACTAGTAAAACCTCTTTTTTTGTCTGGAGGGGAACTTATTTTTTTTCTAAATGCTCATGTAAGGTAGGCACATAGCCTATTCTACTAAGAAGTCAATTCAGTTATTTGCTCTGGATTGATGCTGGTCCTGGTTCTTTTGGAAACCACGACTATTCTACACTGAATTTTAAAAAAGAAAGGAGAGCTATTACAGGTTGTAAAAGCTTTTGATTTCATTTGTCCCTGGGGCCATTCAAGATGCTAAAAATCTCCAAAATCCATTTCAACCTGATGAAGGGTTGCAGTGGGCTCCAGGGCAACCCTAATCTAGTTTATGTTGTGCTAGGCTGGGCAAGGCACAGAAAGCCAGTTCAGCAATGGGTTTAGGCTCCAAAAAATGACCATACATCCCCAGCAGGATTTGAAAAGCAAGTGAAGAGGATCATCAGTTTTTAGCTATTAGCTGGAGGTGGTCCTGGAAGCTTTGAAACATGTTGGAGTTTGTTGTGGCCTAAAGCCATGTCTGATTTGGGAATAAATGTGGTATTTCCATGTATTAGATCTGTCAGTCTGTGCACTGGTGAGATGTTGTTTTTGGTGGGAGGCATCAGAGGTACATAAGAGGCATGGCAACATGATTGGCTTTCCCTGTCCATGTTTTGCTGCCTTTTGTTCATATATGTGTCTCTTTTTAAAGTCTGCTTTGTCCTCACTCAGATCCTTCCCTTGGTTGCCTGTGCTTCAAAGTCTCCAAGATGTACCAATTGTTATCCCTTTTCTATTCTTCCATCCCAGCTTAAGGGCAAAACCAAGAAAATAAAAGCTCCTTGGTGGGTTAATTTGTCTGTTAACTGCAACTCCAATTTCTTGCCTTTTGGTTTGGACTGACTGGGTCAGGAGCTGGCTGTGAGGCGGCTGCAGCAGACTGGCTCTCAATATGTGGGTGACCCAAGAGTCACTCTTGGAAAAAGTCTCATTAGCTTCTCTTGCTGCTCGGGGGACCTGTGCTATGTGATGAGCTCAGGTGGGCACCCTTGAGCTTTGCCTGTGTCTTCAGACAGCAGCTAGACTTGCTCTAGAGGATTTTGGCTCTGCAGTGAGGCTGGTACTGCTTGCACATGTGGAGTTAAGCATAGGGTGACCTGTACCCATATTGGTGCCAGAGTAGGGACTTCTGGTACTCACACACCAATGTAATGGTCAGTATTTACAAATGCCTTCTGCATCTTCTGTTTCAGGTATTGTGACTGTTTTGCAAACGGTGAATTCTGCAATAACTGCAACTGTACAAATTGTTATAACAACCTGGACCATGAAAACGATAGGCAAAAAGCAATAAAGGTGAGGGGCCTCTTTCCCTGCCCCCTGGGATCAAAGCCTTTTAGCTTCTTTTTTCTGAAGCTCCAGAGTGGGGCAGAGTGGGTGTATAATGCCCTGATCTCCTCCCACATGTGCAAGGCTTAAGTTCTTTTATTGCACCTCTAAATTCTGCTCCCTGCATGCAATGACTGACCCTTTGGGTCTGCATTGACAGGCCTGCCTCGACAGAAACCCTGAAGCCTTCAAGCCCAAAATAGGGAAAGGAAAGGAAGGAGAATCAGATCGGAGGCACAGCAAAGGGTGTAACTGTAAACGCTCGGGATGTCTCAAAAACTACTGTGAATGTTATGAGGTATGAAGCATTATCTCATTTAAAAATAGTACATTTTTCCCTTTAGTGTAGTGACTTCTCTCATTTGCCTTGTCTCTTCCTTGTATTGCTATAATGTTTTCTCTTCTGTTTGTTTCCATTCCTGTAATGTTAGCTCTTCTCCCAGAAGTTTGCACATGGAAAAATTGGTCACTACTGTTCTGTAATTTTAATTTTAAACAATTTAGGAACTTTGAACCTAGGCTTGGATTTGTTCTTTACTGAATAGCACCATTTCTTAAAGAAATCTACTGTACCAAGTCCCTAGGAAGAGTTGAAGGAGCATTCCACAGATGCTGTGGGATAGAGCATGTCTTGGGAATTCAGAAGTAGAAGTTGTTGTTACTTCATGTGCTAACTGATCAGTCTGTGGATGTAGTGACAGTGTAGGGACAGACTGATCTTTCTCAAAAATCTGCTTTCTAAATTACACTGGAAACTGGAGGCTGATGAAGAAAGGGATGAGTGGGAAACCACTTATTTACATTCTTTGCTCTATGATTTGATTGAAGTTACATTCTGGGACCTCTCAACTTGAGGTAAGAATTTACAGAAAAGACTACTACCTGGGAGTTTGCTCTGATTGGTAAGAGATTAAAATAAGATCTCCTTTTTGTTGTGGTTTCTTACAAGGGGAGCCAAACCTGCAGCAGGTTTCTTTTGTTTGTTTCTTATGTTTTGTTTGTTTCTTTCAGGCAAAAATCATGTGTTCTTCCATATGCAAATGCATTGGCTGTAAAAATTTTGAAGAAAGCCCGGAGCGAAAGACATTGATGCATTTAGCAGATGCTGCAGAGGTCAGGGTGCAGCAGCAGACTGCTGCAAAGACCAAGTTATCTTCCCAGATCTCAGACTTGCTGACAAGGCCAGCACCAGCACTCAGCAGTGGTGGTGGGAAGTAAGTTAATGCTGCACCCTCTTAGAGTTGTTTCTAATGAGGTTTTTGATGTGTGTGACACGTGTGTCCCTGTCATCTCTGAGCCTTGTCTGTGTAAGCTGTAGAGGTGGGAGCTGTCAGGTGAGTGGAACACTTTGTTCCTGTAACAGTAGGGATTCTGACCCACCAGTTCCTTTGGCTGTTGACTGAGGCTTATTCACTACCTAAAGGCTCTTGGAAGCAATGGGGCAGATGAAATCGCATCAGTCCTTGGACTAAAAAGTTGCCAGCCCCGGAGTTAGGTGCCTTGTGTGTATTTGCAGACACTAAGTGGGTGTCCCTTTGTTTCAGGCTGCCCTTTACATTTGTCACCAAGGAGGTGGCCGATGCAACCTGTGAATGCCTCCTGGCACAGGCAGAGCAAGCGGAGAAGACGGGCAAGTCCAAAGCTGCAGCAGAGCGCATGATCCTGGAGGAGTTTGGACGCTGTCTGATGAGGGTTATCAGCTCTGCAGGGAAGTCCAAAGGTGACCCTTGTGCCATGAACTGCTGACTCGTGCACATGAGCCACAATGAAGCGGACTGAACAGAACACTTAAGGCACAGGGACACTTTGGTTTAGCGTAAAGGAGGGATTTAATAATATTTGTTAATTTGGTGCTTGTTGTAAATTGACCCGTGTAAGATTGAAACGAGAAATTCTTTTATAACAAGATGTAGAGCCTTTTAAATCTTAGCTAAATCCTCTTCTATGTCAGACAATGCCTAAAAGTCAGTTCTTCTTCCCAATGTACAGCTTTTACCCAGGGTTTCTTAAAAATTAGGTGTGTTCTCCCCTTTTCCCCAGAATAATTGTCTGAAGGGCATATATAAATTATTATAATATATATTATTTACAGTGTATGGATTTGCATCACTGTGCATACAGGAAAACACAGGTGATGTCAACAGCCAGGTCATGCTTTTGCTGACAGGCCTGTAATATGGAGGTACCAATGTATCCAAGATAATTCTGAAAGGAAATAGGTAGAAATAAGCATCTAAATGGAAGGTAGTACTTGTATTTAGGACCTGACACAGCATGTCCCTGTAGTGCATGGAGCACTGTGAGATGCACAGGCAGTAAATAATACAGAGGGGTTGCAGATGTAGCACTGAGCAAATGGTAGAGAATGTTTCTGGAGCAGGGCCCAAGGAGTATAGAGGCGAATGGCATTACAGGGAAGTTTTGATAGGAATGGGGCAGAGTGCTCAGGTGTTTCTTAAGCTGGAACTTGAAGGCTGAGACAGTGGCCTGTCCTCAGAAGTGAGCAAGAGCAGCCACACCACAATGCCAGACTGTCTGCCCAGCGTAGTGTTAGCTAAGTGTGTAGCAGATTGATGCTGTTGTTTGGGTGAAGCTTGGTTTTCAGAGGTCTGCAGCAGCCTAACCCCTCACTGGAAGTAGGGCTGTGCAGTCCCTTGTGTTTTCTAGGATCAAGCTGTAACCCTGGGAAAGTGTTTAGGCCTGAGAAGCTGAAGTCACTGGAGATGACAATCTGCATCTGAATCAACTTACAAACGCAGGTAGGGATCATGTTCAGCCTGCTGTGGGTATTCAGGATGCTGCTTCTCTCCATGTTGGCAATTTACTTGGCATAAGGGCTCTTTTATTTTGTTTAGAATAATTGTGAGAGCTGTGATCCGAAAAAGTACTAGCACAGAATCAGGATTGCTACAAAAACAGACACAGATGCTTTCACACTAAATGGGGGGCAATCAGCTATAGCTGGGCATAGACTAAGGCAGGGGATTTTTTTCAGTATTTGTTACAGGCAATATCAGATCACATTTTTGATAGGGGAACACATTTGCAGAATTAACCTGGTGGGTTACTCACCTATCATGAACACCGTTAACCATGTTTAATCACAGGCATTTTTATTACCTGCCTCACTGCAGTCTGAACTAGCTATGTTTTTTTCCAAAAGGGATTTTGTATTCCTTCTATAAAACTGTAAATACAGAGAAATGCAAGGCCAGGGTGGGGAGAGGTAGGGGCTAGGCACACCAGCAGCAGAGATTTGTGCCTCTGTGTGTGAAGGCAGTAGGGTGGGAGGATGCTTCACCTCTCAGCCCTGTACACTGCACAGAAGGCCCTTGACCCTCTTCTGGTGCCTCCTTGAAATGCCTGGGAGGCATGAAGGGCTTGGGAGGCAGTCAGCAGCAGTGGTGGGCTCACAGACCAGGTCTGACCTGCCAGTCACTGTCTGAAGGGCTCTCTCTGCTAAGGACATCTCCCTGAGCATAAACAGCAATGTTTGTGCAAATCTCTGAAAAGGGAATCCACCTCTCGTGTAAGTAAATGCCACATTTTTCATTATTAGGACTTGGATTAACTAAAAAATCAGTGCAGTAACTTTACCTGTAGATAGTGCAGATATTCCGTTCCCTTCTAGTGACCTAATATAGTCTGTCCAGTAAGATTTGTATAAATGTAAATTAGTGTAAGTGAATAAAGTAATACCTACTTACGTTATTTTTCAAACAGATTGCAATATGCCTTTTGTTTAGACTTCAATCTGTGTTAATTTTGTATATATTCAGTGTCTTACTCTAAATTGCACCTTTTGTGATGTGTATTTATATACAGTGTGCAAAAGCACTTGTGAAATTTAGATTACAGTTGTAATTATGTATGATGGCATTGCTGGAGAATATTTTGCTTGTAAAGACTTTGAAGGTGCAATCAAATGCTCTTAGTTCTATTTTGTTTTGAACAAGCTTTCTCAAATATTAAGCTTGGATTCCTCTCTCCCTTCTCCCTGGTGTAGAGTGTATGAATTGGTTTTTGTACTTCCTTAGCCATTTGCATCAAACTGCTGGACAAGATTAACAGTCAAGTTCATCCAGTTACATAAAAAATAATTGGGAATGGGGCAAGGATTCATTTTATAGTTCTGTTTACATCCAAAAATAGAAAAATTAAATTTATATTTACAAGACCTATTCAAAGAATACACTTTTCTATATTGTACAAATAAAACAGTCAGATAAATCACAAAAATAAACATTTATACTATTCTGTAAATATGATTTTTTTTGCACTCCTTTGCTTCAGCACTGACAAATATACACAGAAGGTTTGTCACTGAAATATCAAAATAAATTGTTAACACTAGGTCCACTTCTGATGCAAGTACTGACTTGGATTTTCGGTGTGAGACCAAATGCTACCAGAGATAAATAAATATCCCTTGGTTACTGGTGTGCTGTCGTGCACAGCAATCCATGGCACAGTTCATAACTACTCATCTTAGAGCTGGAGGCAATGCAAGTGTTCCAATATTACATGATTGCAATCCATATGTCACTGAGACTTCAGCAGCATTTTGCCAGTTGTTCCAAAAATCACATGTAGAGGGGAGGGAATAGTTTCCTGCAAAGTCTCTTGTAGCTGGAATGGCTCCATGGCTGTGATGGCTTCAACGTGGTTTTTTGCATAGATATTTGGACTGGGGGAAAAAAAAAAGCCCAGAGGTTCTGGACTGTGCCTCCCAGCACTGATTGTATGAATTTCTGTGGTGCTGCTGCTCTCAAAGCAGAGCTTGAAGGGTTGGATACAGCAAAACTAAGGGAAGGAGGAGAAACCCAAACCAACCAGGAACAGTTTTGTCAAGTCACTGGTAGGCAGAAGGATACCTTTTATATTATTACTGCCCTAGGATGTGGCAGATCACCAGTTTTCATCCCAGCTCCATCATGGATCTTAAGAGTGATTGAACAGCAGGTTTTGTGGGAATTTGTTGCCTTCCACCTCTATGGATGCAACTCCAGTTTTGCATGCCAGCAAAACTTTAGCAGCAGTTCTGCTAAACTTTGCTGTTCCAGGCAAAGCACTGGAGGCAGCTTCCTTGCCATGGAAATGAACCAACTGAAGCAGCCTGTCCTACTTTGTGGCACCAAAGCTGTGGTTCAAGTGCTCAGTGGAAACACTGAAAGGAGGGTGCTGTGTGCCCTGGGCTGCAGGACACAGGCCAGCCCTGGGAGGATGGGACCATGAAATGGGAACTGAAATGCTTGCCCTGCTGTAGCACACCCATGTGTTCCTGCCCCTGGAGGAGGGCATTGGTGCTCCTGGATGCCACTGGACACAGCAATCTGGTCACAGGCTCAGCACTGAGCCAGAGGATCTAGACTGGACCAGTATCTTTAGCTGTTTGGTAAGACATATTGGAAAGGAGATTAGAGCTTGTGTACAACTTGAGTGCGCTTTCTTCTCCCATCTTTGTTTTCCTATTTAAGTAGAAGCTCTGCAAGCTCTCCTGTCCCCAGCTTTTATAAAGCACATCTTTTTGGTGAAATCAAAGTGCCAGTGCATGTGATTCCCTGCAACCCCACCAACTATCCGTTTTCTTCTGGCAAGAGCACGTGCAGCACTGAAACCACCCAGCACTTCCAGGAACACTGCAGTATCCTACCCCTGCCCAAAGCACCTGGAGCAACCCTGGTTCATCCTGACCTGCCTTCTAAATTTCATGAAATTCGTGGCTGCTTTGCAGGACTGATAGAAAGGACAGCAAATGGGATAAACTTCCTTGGTTTGCTCAGTTAAACTCTGATTAGGGGATTTGCAGTGGCCCAAAACATCACTGCTTATGAACACTAGTTTTGCCAGCATTGTTTCCTCACGTGTGTTGCCTAGATCTGTCCAGCACTGAGCCTAAACAAGGAACGGCCATCCTTGGAACGAACCACAGAGTACTCAGTAAGACCAAGTGTGTGCTTAGCTTCACTGACAGCTACCCAATGGTGATGGAAACAAATGCTTTCCCTTCAGTCTCTTCAACTTGTACTTTCCACAAGGGTATTTCAAATTCAGGTGTTGGGTGGGGCATGTTCTTAGCTTTAAGTAACACCGTGTTATTTCCTTTACTAAGACTGTGTAGTGGTTGTTGATGCTCAGCTCCTCCTCAAATAAATGCTTTGTGAGGGTGGGAAAGAGGGGGCTCTCTTCCAGAAGCTCCTGGAAGACTTTCTGTTCTAGACACAAATACCACAGCTTGGTATTTTTGTTGGCACCTTCTACTTTGCTGTATCGGTTTAGGACTTGTTCTGAAATGCTTGTTATGTGGTACACACTGGCTGAGGGCAGACTCACACCACCTAACTTTTTTACGTAGAGCACTGACCTGAATCTTAGCCTGCTCTCATCTGCCTCAAACAGAGAGGCAAGGCAAGCCTCACACTGCAAGTCCAAGGCCAACTGCTCGGCCACCCAGCCAGCCATGCAGGTGAGGCTCTGTGCGCACAGCGACAGATCTGTCAGCGCGTCGCTCAGGGCAGAGCTGGGCAAAAGCAGGCCTGTGCTGTAGGGGTGCTCTGGGGCCACAGTCCTCCCAGGAGCTGGGTGACACTGAGCACGAATGCTGCCCAGAGTCACAGCTCTCCCCTGAGACAGGGCTACATCCCAGGGGCTGGCAAGGCCACTGCTGGGTGGTGAGCCGGGGGCCAGGCTGCAGCTGGCCAGCAGTTTGTGGTAAGCAGCCTGGAACACAGCGCAGGTGGGGCTGCCACTGCTGCCACAGGCTTGCTGGAGAGCCCTCAGAAACTGCTCCAGAGGGTCCAGGCTGAAGGCACGTGTGTGGAGGTGGTGGGAAGGAGTGCCTTTTGGACACGTGTGGTTGGAGGAAAGCCACTTGAGGCTTTCAGCATTGAGCAAGAAGCTCAGAAATCCCAGTTTGCGTTTGCTCTTAATAATGTATCTCCCTACCGAGTCTGTTAAGTTGACAAAGCAGCTTCTGGCCTCATCAAAGAGGTTGCTTATTTTGGTGTAATTCCCAGCTAGCAAAGGCTCCTTTCCATAGGGACCTCTGCCATAAAATACATTGCACAGAGAGCTCATCAGACGCACAAACTTGACAGTCCCGCTGCAGTTCTGAAAGGAGGCCAGGCCCAGCTCCTGGAGGTGCTCCAGTGCCTCAGCAGCACCCTCGCTGAACAGCAGGCTGGCAAGGTTGACCTTCAGGTGGTAACTCCCTTTACTCCCAGCCCTGCCCGACTCAGGACTGCACAGCTCCAACACCTTCTGCTCGCCCAAAGTTGCCAGCTCCACCACGTGCTGCCACCACACGGTGTCACCGAGCCACTCGACCTTCTGGAAGCACTGCAGAGCATTCCTTATCAGCAGGAGGGCATGCCGAACATCAAAGAAGTACGCGATGCTGTGAGCAGAGCCAGGTGGATGCTGGAAGGTGCACTGGATCCTTTTGGGATCTATCCTGATGCCCAAAGCTCTGGCAGTCTCAGCACCGCGAGCAGAGGCACCCGCTGTCACAGCCAGGACCACGATCCCAACGCTGTTCAGTTTATGGATGGCCTGACGAAGGAGCTGAGCGAGGAAGCGGCCGGACGTGCTGCTCACCAAGAAATAGCCCAGGGGAGCTGTCCAAGGGCTCCAGATGCCGACTGCCATGAGGATTATCGCTTCCGAGGCCAGCGGAGCTTCGTCGGCGTCAAGGACGCCTGCTCCCAAGTCAACAAAGCCCGTCAGCTGCTTGCTCTGTGGGTCCCACTCCTGCTGCTTCTGCAGGGACACGTCCTGCACCAGCACGGCGCAGTAGCGGCACGCCTGATCCCCTCTCTCCACCTTTTCCTGAAGCTGGAGAAAAATGTCACTGCTGAAGCCCGCAGCAGCCTTGTTATTAGACAGCCAGCTGGAAAAAAAAAAAAAAAAAAGGCGGGATGTGATTAGGAGATGTGATTCTGGAAAAGTTGAAGCAACAGGCAGCACTTTTTACCACTTAGGACGTGGTCAGCCGTGCCCAGAGCTGCAAGGCAGGCTGAGACATGCAGGGCAAAGAGGCAGCCCTGCTTTCCTTCATGCATAGTCCGAGTTTCTTTCCTCTCACCCTAGTGGTGGGAAGCCAAGGAAAGTACTGACCATGCAGGGAAGTAACAAAGCAGCTTCAGGACAGATCTGTTACACCTATTTCTACACGAGTACTGGAAATATATTATGAATGAATAACTAAAAACTTGCTTTGTCAGGCTGTAAGGATGAGGGAGGGGAAGAATCTTCCGTAGGTAATCATAGGCCTTAATATGGTAGAGATGGAGAAGACAAGCAAATTGCCTCATTTCTGGTGAGTAGTCTGCCATCTGCCTCCAGCTGTGCAACTCTCGAGGCAAATCTGCTTAAGAAATCACAAAAGGTCAACTTTAGTGAAGCAAATAAATAGCTGGAAACAGAGGGATGCATGACACAAATGCAGAATACAAGGCAACAGCATGGCCTCCTCTGGGCAACTCAGTCCTGAAGTCTGGCGTGAAGCGCCGGGCTCAGACACGGTACCGCCGTGCCTCGCCTCTTCCTCGGTGAAGCAAAGACACGAAACCGGCCCGAGGGAGCGCACTCTGCCTCAGCAAGCGCCCCGGCAGTACCTGCAAACTGCGCCTGCAGCAAACTCACGATTTCCTCAGAGAGCAGCCGCTTTTCCGCCAGCTCCCTGAGGAAGCTGGGCACGCTCCTGCGCCGCGGCGCGGGGCCGCCTCTCCCGGCGGCGGGCGGCGGCTGCTGGAGCCGCGGGGCGTGCGGCGCCGGCCCGGCCGCCCGCTGGCCCTGCAGGCTGTAGTTGTGGTCCCCGGCGGGCGGGCTGGGCAGCGGCTGCTTCAGCGCTCGGCCGGGGCTCCCGCTCCTCCTGCGGCCGGCGCCCGGCGGCTCCTGGCGGGGGAAGAGAGGGGAGGTCAGGGCACACGGCGGGACCCCGGCGGCAGCGGGGAGCGCGCCCGGATCCCGCCCGCACCGAGGGGAGGAAGCGGGAGGGCACGGCGCCCCGCCGCAGCTTCCGCCGCAGCCCGTAGCGCTCGAAGTCCCCCTCGGCGAAGTGTCGGGAGCAGAGGATGGCGCCGGGGCCGGGCCGCCACGCCCGGCGGCTCCGCGGGTCCACGCGGTTCACGGCGCGGATCCACTCGCGGCGCTGCGCGGCGTCCACCGGGAACCTGCGGCAGAGGGAGGCGGCGGGATGAAGGGCCGGCGGGCCGGCAGGAGGGATGCGGGGCGGGCACACTCACTGGTGGAAGGAGATGCCGCGCTCGCGGCTCCGCCCGGTGTCGCGGGCGGTGCAGCCCAGCGCGGAGCAGCTCCGCGTCATGGCCGCCGCCGCCGCGCCTGCCGCGATCCTCGGCGCCAATGGGAGCCGCGCCCGCAGCCCCTATTTATAGCGGGGCCGGCAGCGCCCGCCGCCTCTCCCGCCGTGCGCGCCCCGCGCTCGGTGTGTGCTCGCCGGGCGGCCGCGGAGCCGCGCCCCTGCTGCCGTGAGGAGGTGGGTCCGGGGCTGCCGCCCCCGGCTGCGGGAGCCGGCTGAGCTCCCTTGGGCTGTTCCCCCGCCCTGGGGTGGCCCCTGTCCCGTGATGAGCCTCACTGCTGTTCACATCATGAGCACGCCGTGATTACTGCCCTTGAGCTGAGGACAGGCGGCACCGCGGTGCCCCGGCTCCCCCGCTCCCGCCGCCCCTAACCAGTCTCCTTTTCCCCAGGGCCTATGGCTGCTCCCGCCCCGAGGGACACGGAGGACACGCGCGGAAGGAGGCGGCTGCACGTCCCCACACACCCGGAAGGCGGTGGCGGCCGGGAGGCGGCGCCGGGGCTGCCACGTTGGAGCAGTCCGGGCACGGAGAGCGCCGGGGACGCCGAGGTGAGGGCAGGGACGGCGAAACCCCCGGGTTTATTGCTGCTCTGCTCCGGCTCCCGTCGGAAGCGGGGCGAGGGCGGCGGTGCCGCTGGCCCGGGGCGGGGGAGCCCTCGGGGAGAAACGGGAGCCGAGGATGAGGCGCTGGGTGTCTGGGCAGGGTCTTGCCGGGGCTGGGTTTGCTTCGTGGGCTCGGGCAGGAGCCGCGGAGGGGTGCTCGGTGGCTCGGTGCTGTGGGAAGAGGGCTTTCACAGCTGCTTTGCCCACGTTTTCCTGCGTGATGTTCAGCAGCCGTCTGTTTCCTCTGCGTGTCAGTGTGATTCTGCTAAGGGAGAGTTGTCCCTCCCCTCCCCCGGCTGTCCTCTGGAGAGGATGGGCTGTCTGTCTGTCTCAGGGGTATCTTTAGGAATGTGGTCCCTGCGGCTGCTTCTGCCGAGTCCGTGGCAGTGCAGGCTCACCATGCACCATTTCAGCATCATCGCCTGTCTTGGTCTTACTTTTCAGCACAATGAAGCTGAAGGAAGTAGACCGTACTGCCATGCAGGCATGGAGCCCTGCCCAGCAGCACCCCATTTACCTGGCCACAGGTGAGTTTTTTGGGAAGCACGTGCTAGCAGACCTCGGGCTGCACACCGTGAATGAAGGGGCCATTTCTGAAAGCTATAGGAGTTACTCTGTGTCCTGGGGGCTGGAGTGGGGATGTGTTGTGGGGTTTTGAGTGGAGTTGTTGCATTGTGCTGATAAAAGCATGCTTTGCATTCTGCAAGTGACAGTGAGCATCCTCCTCTTTCTGCCAGGGGAAGGTGACACCAATCCTAAGCATCAGTCACTTGTGGCTCCTTTGTAACTTTAATCGTGTTCTGTGCATCATCAGGGAGAGGTACTTGCCCAAAGCTTTTCCTGCTCATACTCATTAAGAAACACCCAAACAAAGAGCCATGGGGAGGAGAATTGTGTAGAACAACATCTAAGTAACAGAAGCCTCACCCTATTTCAGGATCCTTTTTGAAAGGATGATGTTTTTGTTCCCCTTCTTGTCTATCATTACTACGTTGTGTAGAACAACATCTAAGTAACAGAAACAGAAGCCTGACCCTATTTCAGGATCCTTTTTGAAAGGATGATGTTTTTGTTCCCCTTCTTGTCTATCATTACTACTCTGTGTGTCGTGGCTTTCTCACTGCCAGGCGTGCTTTCTCGCAGGTACGTCAGCTCAGCAGCTGGATGCAACCTTCAGTACAAGTGCTTCTCTGGAAATATTTGAGTTGGACTTAGCAGACCCTTCACTGGATATGAAGAGCTGTGCCACATTCTCCTCCTCACACAGGTAGGCAGTGTTGTAAGAGAAAAGTACAGTGTGTGGAACTGTTACGTGTAGAAATGTCACTTCATGTGGTTTGGCACTTGTTGAGGAGAGAAGCAGAAGCTCAGCACTGAAAGATGAAGGCAAGTGTGTGCAATTGATACTGTGGGGCAGTGATCCTGGACTCTAAGAAAACAGCTCATGCTTTGACATAAACAGAAAGTTTTTGAATATATGCGTGGGCCCTTTATCTCAGAAAGCCTCTGGGTTTCACAAGGAAACAGAAGAAAATGTGAAATTGTGAAAATATGGTGGCAACTTTTCATATTGCACCATCCTGTTTGTATTTAGGCATTTCAGGGGGACTCCTGTAACATAACTAACTTGGGTTATGTTGTAGCCAAATTCCTGGCTGCACAGCTCCACTCAGCTGTCAGTTCCTTACTGTCTGCTTATCCAGACAAATATTCTTAGCATCAGAGCAAACACTTTCCATCTCAGCAGCACTCATAGCAGCTCTCTGGCAGAGCTGATGTCAACATGTCCTGCTGATCTGCTCAGAGCAGGAGGCAGCGTTGGATCTTTGAGTTTTATCATTCTGCATTGTTTTAACTGTGACTGAGATTCTTGAAGACTTGCCATTGCTTTCTGAATTTCTAGAAGCACTCCTTAGAGCCAGGATGCAGTGCTCCTTTGAAAGTACTTCCCTTGACCAGCAACACAAGAATTTGACTTTGCCCCAGAAAATGCATTAAAAATGGGGCTGAGGGTTGTTTGTTTGTTTCTAATTTAAGATTAGATAACAGTGTATATGTGAGGCTGTATTTTGGTTTTCAGCAAATGAAAATGTCCAGGTGATTAGACACACAAAAGATAAATCCCTAATTGCCCTCCAGGCAAAGTTTTGCACTGCTTTTATAGAACCATGATTTATCTTGGAAAGAGTAAAGGGCAAAAGTGAAGTAATTAATTGCACTGTTAATTTTTGGGGTTTGTTCCTCGTTGTTTCCTGCCTTCATTTTGGGTTGTTTTAAGTCCTGTTCAGTCTTGCTGGTGATGCCTGGACAACCCTGTCAGTTACTTCATTTATCAGAAACTTGCATAATTAGGTGCAGAAGCATAAAAATCATACCCAGGAATGGGTCTGTCTGATATCACAGACCCATTGCCATTTGTAGCATCATTCTTTGGTGAGCCCCTGCTGTAATCTCAACACTGGGAGCCTGGACACTTGGCTGTTATGGTATTTCTCACCCAGCATGTGCTTTTTGGGCAGCATTCTGCAGTCCTACCTTACTATGCTAAAGTTGCAGTGATTTAAAGAGGTTACTTGAAGATTGCCCAGAGGTAGCAAATAGATGAGCAATATTACAGTGATGCTAAGGTGTCTCCTTGCCTCCTTCCAGTCAGTGTGGGTTTGCTTTGTGCTTGCATAAGAGTTGATAAGTGCTTGTGTCATTTTATGCAGAACATACTCATTTGCATGGCTAAGTGCACAGGAATCCTGTTTTGCTTATGCAGGGGGTTAGTTGAGTTGAAGGGAATTTGGTTATTTACAGATAGACACAATAGTGTTCTTAAGTTCTGGAAGTATGTTTGATTCCTCTTGAGTTAGCCTGAAAATAGGCTGTGGTCCAAGAGATGAGTCTGTGATGTTGGCTAAACTTGCTGAGTCCCTGGCATGGCAGACAAAACACTTGCATGGATATGGAAAAGCATATGGAATTTTTCTAGTTTCACCTGTTTCTTCTCCTGTATGAAGCTGCTTGCAGATAGCAGAGGTTTTTCTCAGGCTGTGACTGGATGGGTTTACAGCCCTTACTTTGATGCCTGCTGTTGTGGTTGGGAGCACTTACCTGGTTTTCAAGGCAGGAGATTGGAGATGTTGTGCACATTGTGCCTCTTGTTAATAAGCAGAATTGGGGCATGCCTTCCCCATGGAAAGGGTTGTGCTGAGACTTGTCCTTAGGGAGAAAAGCAGGCCATGCTTTTCTCTGACTCTAGCTGGGGTGAGCAAAAATGGGATGTATCAACCTACAGGGAGCTGGTGGTGGATGGGTCTAAGTCTGTGGGGCCCTCTGTGTCTTGCAGGTACCACAAGCTGATCTGGGGCCCTCACAGCATGACCTCGGGGGACAGAGTGTCTGGAGTTCTGATTGCTGGGGGTGAAAATGGAAATGTCATCTTGTATGACTCAGCCAAAATCTTAGATGGAGAGGCTGAGGTAATAATAGCCCAGAAAGACAAGCACACGGGACCAGTGAGAGCACTTGATGTCAACATGTTCCAGGTTGGTTTCTCTGCTGTTTCTCTTAACATACCATCAATACAGGAGTGGCCTATTTTAACTTGTAACCTCAGATGTTTCTGCTGCTTCCCCTCCCCTGAAAAGCATGAGCTGTATTTGGTTTTTGAGTGTCTGTTTGTATTTAGTAGGAAAAACCTGTCCCATTACTGGCATTTCATAATGGGGAACGAAAGTTCTTTAATTTGTTCTTTCCCCTCATCAGTTCACCTTGTCAATTTAGTTGATCTTTTTAGCTCTGCTTGTGTGTCAAGTAGAGGTGCTCTTCAGGGTGTTTTTAGTCAGTCTCTTCTCTTAGCTTCTGTGTGTTGTGCCAGTCACACAGAAAGGAATTACGTGCTCTCATTCATTTTTCTGGTGAGATCAGTTTTCAGGTCTCTCCTTTGGGGATTGGGTAGGATCCACCTTCAAAGCCCCCTTCCTAAGAGGAGACAGCAAGCAAACACAACCTTGTGGCCTCTTGAGCAGAAGGGCTCTCAAAACCAGCAATCCTTCCCACACCACCAATGAGCATTTACTTCCTTCTAGATACAGTGTGTTGGTTTTTCCTTGTTGCCACCAGCTGTGTGAGAATTCAGTTGGATTTGTTTCCTAAATAACACTTCTGTCCCTGCACACTTGGCTCCACTGTGTTCATTGTGTCCTCTCTGAATCGCTTCCTGTCCCTTTCTGCCTGTAGTGAACTCAGGACTTGCCTGTTATCAGCCACAAAATGCGACCAAAGGGCACTTGGTGACCTTGGCTCATGTTGCCCTGCCTGGACTTTTGCATCCCAGGTGCAGGAGTACTTTGGATGGCTGCACTCACTGTGGGCAGGGCAGCAATGCCACACTGTCCAGAGCCAAGCTCTGTGGTGGCCAAAACTGCAGCACTG